ACGTCCCCTTGCACTTCATCACTAAAATCATAATGGGCAGACAGTAATCAAACTATTTTATTTGGATAAATGCATTTTGGCAGTCAAGAATGCATTTGAAATAAATATTGTGTACCAGATATGTATAGTATGCATCAGTAACTTTATCATTAACATATACGTACATATTAATCAGTTCAAACCAAAAAACTGTACTGGTAAGAGATGAGCAATTTATATAATCAGTTACCTATGAGCATTGGTTAGTGTCATATAAAATAATTGTTTAATCAAAATTATGATGAAATTGATTGACACCTTAATAATCAACTAATGAAAATTTGTGTTTCTGAGTTACTGCTTTCATTTATTTCAAATATCTAAGTTATCAAAATATTGCCATTGTGATTTTTTATTATTTTCTGTAATTCAAGATTGTTCAGCGTGATCTTTTAGTGTCATGACTCATGAAAATAGTCAACTAATCAAAGTTAATGTTACTGTATTATTACTATTTTTTATTACTCGTATCCAAGTAATCAGAATATTATCTATTACTACTTCTGTTGGTGTGACTGTGCACAACAGCATACTTGCATTCTTCTTGTACACAATTCATGACTATGAGGGTGTGGTCTAGTGATAATTGGTAACATAACTTGTCACAATGATATCTCTTGTTCATGTTTACTATGTATGTATAAATAATAGCATACCTTTAACTTAATAATATATTGCTTACTTTTTACAAGCTACAAAATGTAACTAGTGTTACTAAGGTTAAAATTGCTTTATTAAAAAAAGTTAGGACAAAATCAGTATTCATTTTTTTTTTTTATTCACTCAAACTATGTTGCTGAATAATTGCTTATTTAACCCTATAAGAAAGAAATTGGTCAATTTGACCAACCTTAGAAATTTGAAACTATACATACTATAACTCTGATAATGGTAAGTGATATTCACAAAATTTGGCAAGCTTTAAATAAAATTAAAAGTCTGTTGTACCCCCAAAAAAAATGTAAAAGAATTTTTTAATAAGTATTTTTTTACTAAAGACTTGTCCATGAATTAACGAAGCCTTTACTGAGTAAGTTTGAGTGAAAGGTGATTTTCGTGCTAAGAATAGAAATACTACTTTTCATCTTATAGTTTTCATATTTAATTTGAATAATGTTTAGGAGGTTTAAAAGGTTATGCAAATGAAATATGAAAACAAATTTCACATCTATTTCCTGTTAATTGTATGGTTTTACTGCTGTACTTTGGTCCCACTGAAGCACTATTCCTCACATCAAAAGAAATACAGGGTGGGCAAAAAGTCTGGGCACCCACCTTATTTAAAGCTCATGTTAACAGTTTAGTTTTTGTGTTTTAGTAATGATTGTGGCAAAGGAACAATATGAAAAAAATGATGCTTTGAAATAGAAAATTCTTGAAAGTTTCACTTAGGTCATCCCTGATATGCTAAGGATGATGTTGCATCGCACATGGAGATGTATCATCCTCTGTTGTGAAAATGAAGGCCAACAGATGGACATCTTGGATTATTAAACTAACCTCTTGTTAGTCTGCATCAGTATGAGATATGTCAATAAGCAATAAGCAATAAATTCTTTCATGTGCATTATCTTTATTTGAGGGAGAGATGCCCAAACTTTTCCTCACCCTGTAAATCACAGCAGGAGCCCATTAGCTCTTTCCCTTAAAGCTATTGTAAAACACTGTGTTTGCTGAATATAATGTTTAACAGAAAACTTGAGCTCATGAAATTTTAGACATTTTATTTTAATGAAGCTTGGTTAGGTCTATCTGCTGAGAAGTTCCTAAATTTTACATTTTAGTTACTTTTGTTAAGAAATTGTTTGTCAATAGATAAAATTACATGTATACGCAAAAACAAGGATTTGTAGTACTTACTGCATACATGAGTAAAAATGTTAGACGTTCTTTCGTAAGCCTAAATGAATCTCACAAATGAGGGTGTACAAAAAAGAATTAATGTAGCTTTGAAATATGCATTTTAGAACATATAAGATACATATGTCACTAGAAAAAATTTGGAAAACTACTAATTTATTCAACCTTCTAAGGCAGCCAGCTATAAATGAGTTAAAAATTCCTTTAGGTGTTTGGAGCACGAAAATATGATCACCACATGTCAAGCAATTCTGTTTACATCGTGACAAGTGAACAACATGTAAGATTTATTTGGAGATTTATTTTCATGGACATTGTAAAGTTGTATCTCAGGAAATCAAGAAGGGGGAAGATTGAAATTTTAGACTTTTGCTTGTAATTATGTATATTTTGTTCAAATTGGTTAGAAACTGCAGTAGCCTCTTTTTAATGTTAGGAAATTCTGAAGTAGCAAAATCAGAACTTAGATGCATCACATGACACATACAGAAGAATAAAGATAGAAAATTTAAAAAAAAAATTTGAAATCACACTGGATTAATATGTATGAACTAAGTTAGCTGCCCATCACAGGATTTGCAACTAATCAAACCAACCAGTAACTTCTGTCTCTGTCAGTCAACTAGATTTTGTAATGGTCTCTCTCCAGTATTTATAGTTTAATGGAAGTGCTAGCTATAAACAGATTTTTAAAAATTTCCCTTACCTTCCAGAGTACCCAGGGATCAAAATATTACATTCCTGAGGAATTTCATATTTTTAGTTGGCTTTCTTGGTCAGGATTGTATGGTACATGTATATTCTTTTAGTTATGACCAAAGTAAGTGAACATACTGAATGGATTAAATAGAAAAATTCATTAAGAAATGCAACTTTACATGAGGGAATATAATCTTCCTGATAGCTTTCCTTCGAGCAAATGTAATTTTATTTCATTACTAGCTGGAGTACCAGTTCCCTGGATGGAAGTTATGTAAATTCATGATTA